GGGGGGGGCGGACATCGTAAGAATAATTCTACTGCACCATCATATAATTTAGTTTTATGTATTACAACAACTACCTGTATTTGTATTTACGCCCTTGGAAGCGTTTCTGATTTATAATGCTGAATTCAGGGGCTCTCTTTTTTATCACTGCCTGTTTATTTAATTCTTGAGTTTATCACAAACCCGCTTCTTTGGCCAGGGATACTTAACTCACAGTGACTTCAAAAAAAAAAAAATATCAAACATTGAATAACATTCAAATAATATTTTTAGATTGAAAAAAAGTTGTTTTAATTACAACTGACGCGCACTTTTTCCCAGGGGGAAATCTTTACTAATAACAATGTCTTCGACCTATTTGAAAATAAACTGCCATTTAGGTGGTTCTAGGTGCGTTTAAATACCCAAGTTAAGAGAACCAGATGAATACATGTAGATGAATCACTGCAGCAGCATTATTTCATTCGAAAACTGCACTTTGAAAGTCCAAAACGCAGTAGTTAAATTATGGCGCACTGTGTACAGATAAATAGGTCTTATTATCAACCCAAAGAAGTTGGCTGCGGTCATCTCTCAGGGTATTTTGTATGTATTTAATATGGAATATTTAAGTTAGTTTCAAAGGTATGTCTAGGATAAACGTGTTATTTATTTCTAAAACGTGTATCTCATGTGAATCATGAGATTAGATAAATTAGTAGTCAGATGTGTCAGTAACAAGTTATTGGCTGTGATCGGTCACGTGATTTGCGAGGCGGCAAATACAAACCGGGGGCTTGCCCCGAAATATACTTCTTCTAGGACGTTTCGAGCCAAAATGTAGACTTGCAAAGAAGAGAGATAAGGTACGAATAGTCAGAGATAATGCTGTAGAACTTAATAACACATAGAAACGGACCGATTGTGCACATATTAACTTTTTTGGTGACACATATAGACTCATGGTTGACTACGGTACAATATGGAGATGGCACATCTAACACAATAGGCCTTGGTCACAGCATATAGGCCCTATTCTACGTTCGAGTGAAAACCGTATATATTGACATAACCTATATAGCGTACAATGGACAACATCGCCAAATATTTCACTCCAGCCGAATCGAATGCAACGGCTTAAGACAGACCTTGTAAGCCGCCAAGTGGCAAGAGATCTCACAGCCAATTATCAAGCACCAGTGAAGAGGGAAATTCGTTCAGTCAACAAAATGAGATGCTGAACGAATTAGAAGAGATAAAAAATGAATTGAAACATACTGTTAAAACGGATGATCTCAGGCAGATAGTCCAGCAATCAATGCTTGACGCTATGAATGAAATAAAAAAAGAGTTCAATGAGCGTATTCTGGAAATAGAGGAAATTTAAGGCATACCAGCATGATGACCGAGATGAGAGATCAAATGGACGGTGTAAATATGGACAATCAAGCACTGAGGGAAAAACTGGCCGAGAGAGAAAGGGAGCTGAGGGAACTTAGGAAGACAGTAAAAGACAACAAACAAATGGCCATGGAAGCAAACTGTCGTTCAAATAGGAATGGACAATATTCCAGAAAAAACAATATAAAACTATATGGAGTGAGCGAATCCCACGACGAAAAAGTGAAAGAAAAAGTGATTAAAACGCTGAGAGAGGCCGCAAATGTTGAACTACAGGAGAGTGAAATCATCGCCACCCAAGAATCCCAGGAAAAGCGGGAGGAGCAAGACCAATAATTATTAAGGTGAGAAATGCCGAAGTGAAAACTAAAATTATGAAAAAAAAGAAAAGCAATCAAACTGGCAGGCAGAGGGGTACACGTGGCTGATGATGTTACGCACTTGAACACAAAACTTATACAGAGTCTCAGCCAACACGAACATATAGATAGTGCATGGTACTTCAACTGCGGCGTCTACGGACAGGTCAATCAAATTAAAGTAAAGTTTGACATTTACGACGATATTGGGGAGAAAATAAAAAAGACTTTGAGAGCACAGCATTGACTAAATTATAGACCAGAATATAAAGTATAATAAAGTTTCTCTCCTTTGTCCTTATATCAATGTAAAAGTTATAGCATCGTATATATTGCAGGGCACTGTAAAACACTAGTATAGCGTAAAACAACCCGCGGCACTGGTGTGACAAACTGGTTCTTGTCAATTACATATTAGACACCAATTATGTTATAGCACTAGAAGTGGACTCTTATAGTCGGTGCCCAGGTGAATGAAAAATAAAGGAATAGNGGGGGATAAGTGCACACACACACACAATGACACAAACCCCCAAGCCATCAATGTTCTGGTATGAACCTTGAAAATGCGTTTCCTGTAAAGTTTTGTTTTTTTTTCTTTCATACAGAGCCTCACAACAAAGTTGGCTTGTTTTCTACTGTGGGTTAACTTGATTAATCTTAAATTACCGGAAATTCCCATAGAAATATACTTGCACCCTTCCATAATTGATACGTAGGCCTACCAGTGAAACCCTCAGTGTTGCCCTCAATCTCCATCCATGCCGGTGTCGATGGAAGCCACCGTTTTATTACGTCCCTAATAGTCTATACGTCCCCACATGCACCGTACCGATCCTCTCACGCACTGATAGCCTTACATGTACATGTGCTGTACCCCGCACCACATTTACACTTCTTTACATCCCGCATCTTTAGGCCTACTACTGTAGTAGGCCCACGTTCCCACACCGTTACTCCCCGGCACCGTAATCCCTCCCCTTCACGCACACACACACACCGTTACTCACCCTCATAAATAGCTAGCGTCCTTTTACTTTGGTAATCCAAAACACCAGGCTTAATCTTAAAAACCTGATATGTGTATGATATGATTTTTTTAATGAAAAATCTGAAAAGTACGCCTTTCCAAGGCCCAAGTGTGTCGTTTTTTGAGATGCCGTGGGAATATTAAAAAAAAATAGTCGCTAAAACAGCGCGCTTTGTAAGTTAGGGCTTAAATAATTCAGATTTGATTAAGGAAATGTGTTTGCTTTGTTAGTAAGAACAAATGCCGTGATTAAATTCTGAATGACTTCCCGAAAAGAAATGACGACGTGGATGACGGGACGGTACAATTGATAGTTTTGAGTCATTTTTCTTTCTGTATCGCTGCCAAGAAGCATGCTCCTATCAAATGAAAGTGTGTATAAAAGGTACTCTAAAAATGCTGATAAAATTTGCAACTAACAGCGCATTCAGAACAGATCATCAGTGGACTAACTTATCCGCCTACTAAATATGGCCGACCCCGTTTAAGAGCAAGCCGCTCAATTCCTAGATGGTCTCTCCGCCTTTAAAGATATTAAATCTCATTTCCTAGACGGCGGCGGCCCGTGTGGAAGCAGTAGACCTACCCTTAGGGGATTAGCGTCATTACTTTTAAGTGAGTCAGCCATATTTATTCCACAGATCTGTTAGTCTGCAGATTAACTTGTTGCGCTCTAAGAGCAGACTTGGATTTGTAAGATTGCATTCACAACGAGTTGAGCCAGGCTTTACAAATCCTGGGGACTAAATATGGCGGACGTACATGAAAGAAAAACCGCCTAATCTTTTAATAGTCACTCCGCCTCTCACACGCCTCTCCATGCGTCGTCCCTGCAGGGGTACAGTCAATAAATTTCGGCTCCATTGGGACGACACATGGGGAGGCGTGTGAGAGGCGGAGAGACTATTAAAAGATTAGGCGGTTTTTCTTTCATGTACGTCCGCCATATTTAGTCCCCAGGATTTGTTAAGCCTGGCTCAACTCGTTGTGAATGCAATCTTACAAATCCGAGGATCAAATATGGCCGGCCAACTTGAATGCTTGCTGCGTAATCCCCGCGGGGAATCTATTCAGTGTCTAATTGGGAATTCAGCGGCAAGCTTTTTTTTTTTTTTTTAGCTTTTTCGTACTTAGTTGTTTCTGGTGATACGTTTTTTATTTTCTTGTATCATGTTCCAAATATGTTGTATTGATTCATTCATGGTAAATAAAAGCTGACATAATGACGTCTTAGAAATAATTTAAACTGTAACTCAGGGGGGTTTGCGTCATGGCTAAAGCGTAACGTATGTTCCCAGAAAAATCGTCCGAAAAAAAGATTATTCTTGCCCAAGCACTTGGTGCATTAGGTAACAGGGTTTTTGTTAACGACTGAAGCATATAGCGTTTTCCTGTGTAAGTAGACATTTCTGAAATAATTTTGCACCACAAATAAGAATAGTTCATTTTATGCTTCTTTTGTTGTCAGCATGCCGATTTTATCCTTCTTTTAAATATTCAGTGACAAACTACAATCGCACAAAAATAATTAATCGCTCTATACAGAAAATTGCGATTTTTTTTTTACAAAATTATAAGTTTAGAAAAAAAATAAAGAAAAGCAGTCTTGATAGAATTTTCAAACTGAGTAATACACTTCCGCAGCTGAAAGTTTTCAATTTGTGACGGTAACGTCTGTTCTTCCTTGGGGTTGGATGAAGTATTTTTTATTCTCCATGGTTCCAGGACAGATAAACTAATACTTTGAAACGAACTTCTTCATGTAGTACACATAAGGTAATGTTTGGGTGTATATCATTGTTGTGAGAAAATGGAATGAGTTTTTCATTGCATGTAATTGTGCCATAGTAAAGATTTGAGTGTTAGATGATTAGGTGATTTCCTCATGCACTTTTATAGAAATAATATCTCAATGTATGTTTATATTTGAGTGCGTGGTATGGTTGCCATACGTGACAGAATTATGTTTATACCTCACTTGTTTTATATAGGCTTCTGAAAATTTCAATTAAATTAAGTGACTTTTAAAATTACTTTTTCAGTTGGAACCGAACGGTGGTTTCTCTCTCTCTCTTTGGTCTGAGAACTGTGGTTTTCTGAAGTAGAAGGGAACAGAGGTTGCTCGTTTCTCACTCTCCTCCCGGCACCGCTGCTTGTTAATTGCTGAATGTTAATTGCTCTTTGATAAAATTACTGATGTAGGTTATTGTCTAAACAGTTAAAATAATAAGAGATGGCGTTTTTGAATAATTTTTATAATATTTTTAAAATTGCTGTGTTTAACAGATTTTAAAACGTCCGTAGGTTGTAAAATTAGAAAAAAGACAAAATTTAAAATTCGATATGCGTTTGTTGTAGCTGAAATATAGCTTATTTATAGATTATATGTTATAGCTTAAAATTATTTAAGATTAGAAATATCAAATATATTATATTACCAGTAAAGGTGATTATCTGGAACAAAAAAGAATTCCTGTCTAAATTTACTACAGCATGCACTGGATATAAGATCAAATGTGTTTTTATGTCAAGTACAAAACTTAGTCAGAATGCAAATCTACACAATGGAGAAGGACAGCCAACAACATTATATGATTAATTGCACGGGTCAATTTGTTATTATTTGGTGATTTAATGACAGAAACTATTTTTAAAACGCCATTTAATTTCATTATCTTACAAACAAATATACACCCGTATCACATTCTGCATCCTTGTCAAGTCATATTGAAACTAAAAAATTATTACTACCTTGCAACTGGAAATATCTTGATCAATTTCCATACGGCTATCATGAGGGTAACCCACAACTATAATGAAATTCGATAAAAGGTCAGTCAATCATAATCGCATCCATATGTAATAATATGTTTCCTCTCAGAAACAACTTACGTTCACTACTGTAAAAATTCCATTTATTACTGATCAATCTCTACAGGACGAGCTCATTCATTTCTAGTCCGAACCCATGTACCTAAACACCTTGACCATCCCTCCGTGCTGAGACACTGTTAAATCACCATCATGGTTGATGGTTAGACCAAGAGGTTTCTGCAGTCCGTCATTTCCAGTTGCTAACAACTGGACAAACTCACCATCGATTGATATGATGTGAATTTTGTTGGTGTTGTAGTCAGCAATCATAATGTCATCATACTGGTCAACACAGACTCCGCGTGGTGTACAGAGTTGATTCTGTCCAGAGCCAGTGTAGGTGTGGAGCAGTGACCCAGTGGGACTCATGATGAAGACTGCTTTAGCTTTGTTATCAGAAACAACAATGCTCCCATTATTAAGAACTGTCACATACCAAGGCCACCGAAAACCACTGTGTTTTATGGTACCAACTGTAGCACCGTGAATGTTGACAATGCTGACTTGTTTAAGATTAGGCTGAGCAACCAGAATGGTATTGGAGTTGGTAACATGTAAACCCTCAGGACCTTCCATAGCCACTTCTTTAGTAATATTTAAGTCCCGTGACATGAAGTTTAGTTTATTGTTGTCATATTCAGAGACCACTATGGTACCATCAGGTAGTACTGCTACACCAAAAGGTCTGTCCAGTGACCTGCTACCAGCCTTGGATTGCTGCAAAAGGAGTTGTCCATCTGAGCTAAATCTGCACACTTTGTTGTTATCATAATCCACGACCAGGTATCCCTGCTGCGGTTTGGCACAGGTGGTCAGACTAAATGGATTGATACAGTTTGAATCAAACTGACTAACCAAGTGTGGTTTATTTTTGATCTGTGCCTTCCGTGTTACACACGATGGTTCACGTGAACTAATGCCTTGAATATCTTGTCTGTCTTGTTGTATCGTCCCAAGTCCTGTGCCCTTGTCCATTTCTCTATCAACATCACTGTTGGTCTGTAGTTGAAGGCTGAGGTGTTGTGGGATATCACCGCCACCAGATGGCAGCAGGAGCTCCTGTAACCTGTGTC